TAGGTCTTATCCCGGAGCAAAAACTGACAGCTGCTTTGCGGATGCTTGCTTATGGGGCATCTGCAGAGCAGGTGGATGAGATTGCAAGGATGGGAAAATCTACTGTCCTAGAGTGCTTGGTGAGATTTTGTGATGCAGTGGAAAATTTGTACACGAGGGAGTACCTTCGCAAACCAACGCCAAGAGACCTGCAACGGCTTCTACAAAAAGGCGAGGCCCGAGGTTTCCCAGGAATGATTGGAAGCATCGATTGTATGCACTGGCAGTGGAAGAACTGTCCTACTGCTTGGCAAGGGGAGTACGGGAATCGGAAGGGCCAAAAAAGTATAATTTTGGAGGCCGTAGCTTCATTCGATTGTTGGGTTTGGCATGCCTTCTTCGGGGTTGCCGGTTCTCAGAATGACCTCAATGTCCTTGGTCAATCCCCAGTGTTCGATGAGGTATTGCGAGGTCATTCCCCCCAGGTCACGTACCAAATCAACAATACCGTTTACTCTGGTGCGTACTACCTTTCCGACGGAATTTATCCTAGGTGGACGACATTCGTGAAAACAATTCCGAATCCCCAATCCGAGAAGGAACGAAACTTTGCTTCCTTTCAAGAAGGTTACATGAAAGACGTGGAGAGGTGTTTCGGTATCTTGCAAGCTCGTTAGGCAATTATTAGAGGTGCTGCTCGGATGCTAGATGAGGAGGTGCTGCGGAGTATTATGATGACTTGCATCATCCTTCACAACATGATTGTGGAGGATGAGTATGACTATGATGCTGAAGAGGTGTTTGAACCTGATCCAATGAACACATCGTTGACAAGAATATATAAAAGGCCGATTGGACCAAATGGACTACCAATGGAGCCCGAACCGTTACTTCGGGATGGTCGATTCAACAACCCCATGATTGATCCGTATGAAGAAATGCAATCTTCATATGTTCACGAGATACGTCAAGGTGACTTGGTCGAGCACTTGTGGGAGATGAAAGGCAATCACAATGGATGAAGTCAAGATTAGTGCTTTGTTTTTAATTATGCTTTATTTTGTGTGTGGTGTTTTTTGGAATTATGCTTTTTATTATTATTTATGTATGGTTTGTTTTGTGTGTTGTTTGCAATCAATGAAGGTTTTTTT